ATTTTTATTTGTAGTTATCGTTTTAATGTTAGAGATAAAGAGAGAATATATGAGAGAAATGACTGGAGGAAGAAATATTTGGCAAAAAAAAAAGAAGGGTGAAGAAAGAATGATGGGTTAATGGTTTTATTAGTCCCCCAACTTTGACCGAATTTGCATTTGAGTACCTCAATTTCCAAAATGGTACTCGTGGTCCTTGAACTTTAGTTTCGTTTGGACAACTAGTCTCATCGTTACTTCTGTCAATTTTTTCGTTAAATTTAAGGGTAGATGGGTCTTTTCAGGTTAGTTTTATTATCCCCCTTCTGCAACTTGCCTTCCCTACCAAAATCCATAATCAATTCTAGAATCATTTTCTCCAACAAATCTAGCCAAGAAAATCATTCATTCCTCTTAGTAGAGGAGAGAGCGCACCAACCAATCAACCACTGTTCAGTTTTCATATTGAAATTACAACAAATATATATATATATATAGATGATGATTGAGATGAATAACCCAGTGGTGGCGGGGCAAGTGTGTTTGACGAGTGCGAGGGTTGTTCCCAATCCGAACAAAGCAGCACCAGGAGGATGCCCTCGAAACCTTGTCAATGGCATCGGCAAAGGCAAATTAGGTGGCAATATTTTCATTTCTTCACCACCACAATTAGTAGTAGCTGCAACAACACCAATTCCAATCCCAATCCAGAAGGAAAATTCTCGGGACATGTTTGGTTACAGAGAAAACCCACAACGCAAACACAAGAAATGAGATTTTTTTTAAAAATCAAACGGATTAAAGAATGGCAAAAAAAAAAGTATGGGATTTGATGAGAATTGAAATGTGGAGAGAGAGGGACGTACAACAAGCTCAACAACATCAATGGCGGCGAGATCGGAACGAAGAGCAGAGATGCTGAGATTGAGGCAGCGAGTGGGGAGTTGTTTGGCCTGTTCCTGACACTCCATTGAGAGATTGGGATCCACACCAACGTCGCCGTGCACATCGATTGCCCACCCGCCCATTTTCTCTCTCTCTCTCTCTCTCTCTCTCTCTCTCTCTGTTGTGGCTGCGAGTATGAAGGGGGCTGAGGGAGGTTCATATAGGCGCTGGCAGATGCGAGGGTTGTTCCCAAGCCGAACAAAGTTCGACATGACTGTACTTTGGCTCCACCAGAACCACCCTAAGACTTCGCCCAAAGGTTTTTCCTAGTTCTCTGAGAGAATCTAAAAGTCTTTTTTGCCCCTCAAAACTAACATGAAAAGACCCATCTATCCCTAATTTTAACCAAAAAAATTGACAGAGGTAATGGTGGGACTAGTTGTTCAAACGAAACTAAAGTTAAAGGACCACGGGTACCATTTTGGAAATTGAGGTACTCAAATGCAAATCCGGTCAAAATTGGGGGACTAATAAAACCATTAACCCAAGAATGATTGTGTAACAACCACACCGAATAATGACTCGTTTTTCGAAGCCAATTTTGTATGTGGACTAGTCCCATGCCTTTCATAGTTTAAATTTAGGTTGAAATTGACTTTTGAAACTAAATAAGTAGAAGTGACAAATATGAAAAAAATTTCAAGTCAGCCTACCTAAACAGTCACAATAATATGCCTCCACTTTTATTTTTTGAAATTTCAACACAAACATGATATATGTGTTAGGTATATAAGAAAAACTTAGATGAAACTGGCGCGCATACACACACCCTTTATATTTCATTCACAAGGAAAATATACATCGGTGATAGTGAAGTTTTTTTTTCTTTTCATTATATGTATATATATATATATATATTTAGAGTTTCCATTGAGGGATCCCTCAAATAACTTATTTGAGGGACACCCCTTATAGGGCCCACTCCGGATTGTATTTCACTAATCCAAACTGTCTATTTTGTAGATACACATTCAAAGATCATCTCTACAAAAAATCATTTGAATCCGATATCATTTGACCATTCAATTGAGTTATTGAAATTTTTGTACTTTCTTGAAGCACTGTGTTCATTGATTTTGTATGATCCAATTGAATGTCGAAACGGTTTTCGATTTATCTAATTTTTTTTTGTAAGGATGATTTATGAATGAAGACCTAAAAAATAGATGGTTTGGATCATTGGAAAAAAAATTGTAGGGTACCCTAAAGGGCATCCCTCAAATAAAATTATTTGAGGGATCCCTTAATATAAGGGGACTGTATATATATATATATATATATATATATATATATATATATAAAACATAGAGCTTTAATTGAAGGATTGCTCAAATAAGTTTATTTGAGAGACACCCTAGTAGGCCCCACTACACATTGAATTTCAGTAATTCGAACTCTCTAGTTTTTAGATATTCCCTCAAAGACTATCTTCCCCCCAAAAAAAAAAAAAAAAAAAAAAAAAAAAAAAAAAAATCCCTTAGAAACCATTTGACCACTCAATTAAATAGTTGTTATTATAGTCTTTTTTTGAAGCAATGTGTTCGTCTATTTTGTCGGTCTGAATTATATGTTTTAATACTTTTCAGTTTGCATGATTTTTTTTCATAATAATATATATTATAGACAATCAAAAGCGTGATTAGGTAAAATGTCATTGAAAAGTGTGGTCCTCAATTTTGAAACGTCACATACCATAACACGAAAATGTTTGAATTTTCATATTTGCAAAAGGACATACATATGTTAATTATATACATATATTTAATATTTTCAAAACATTTCATTTGTGGTCCTCGTTTTCAATTTGTTTGTCTATTTGCGTTTTAATTATTATTATTATTTTGGTCACAGAATATATACTGGAATTGAAAATGAAACAAATTCAGATATAATCTTCTCTGATTAGGACCATGTCTAGAATATTGATGGTCCATACATTATACATAAATGGATGACGCATATGAAGTTGAAGAGCTTTTCTAAGTTTCAACTAGCAAGCATCACTACAAACCGGCAGGTCTACAACAAAAAATCTAAAGTCGCAGGCGTGCATGAAACAGCTGGGGAAGGCAATTATCAGAAGAGATGATGCCTGTGGCAAATGCAAAATCAATAATTTAAATTCGTAAAATAAGTTACTTTTTTATTATTATTTCCAAATCGTTTTATTAAAGTTTAACTTTTTAGCCAACGGGATCTAATCTAATGTAAAAGGACATTGATTTGCAGACCATAAGTCTTAGGTTTGAATCCCCACGACATCATAGTTGTGTGTGTGTATAAGAAATCTCACTTCCCTATAATTTAGATTATCGCTTGTATTAAAAAAAAAAATTATTAAGATCCAAGGAAAAAAAATTCATATATACGTTTATGTAAAAACAACCATGGCTGCCAATGCCGGGTTACCACAATGACTGTGGCCCTCCCCCTCTCCCCTGCTTGGTATCCAAAATTGAACACCGAGATTGCCTATTGTAATTTGCTATATTTCCCAAAAAAAAAAAAAAAAAAAAAAAAAAAAAAAAAAAAAAAAAAAAAAAAGAAAAAAGCAGCGGCCATGGCTGGCCTATTGGAGCCATAAGCCCATCCAAAGGAAGTAATTTGAGAAATTAAAGGCCCACTATGCTGCTTAAGCTGAGCCCAAGTATCCTTGGACTAGCTCTACTATCTTTTCTAGTTTTGGGCCAATATGTACTCAAGGTGTGCATCATTTTCCATAAGGCCCACAATTAGACCCTGCAAAACTACACCCAAGATTTAGATACTCGGTGTTCTTGAATATAAGCAATAGTCTAAAATATAAGAGGGTGAGTAGGTGTTCTTGAATATAAGCAATAGTCTAAATTATAAGAGGGTGAGTCGGTGTTCATTCGCCAAAAAAATGTTACTTTGGTTTTTTTAATTTTTAATTTTAACATCTTTTAGTCTACAACTCATTCTTCCTATGTGTGAATTTTTGTAAATATTTTTGAGCATTTTCTATGTGTTTGAAATAGTTTATCGTATTATCAGATGTCTGTATAATTGTTTGGTAATATTTATTATATGAGTAAACGGATGACATACGACACGACACGCAAAACTAACAACTAAGTTTAAGTTCAAATATTTGGACACTGAAAATTAATGGATCGACAAAGTGATTTGATCAACAACACAGTTTTGCTTCCTAGTGATATTGCCAAATAGCTTAGAATAATATATATACTTTAGGAGGTGATGATATTTAATGAATTATATCATTACTTATGTTAAAGAAAATTTATATATAACTTGTAGATCATACTTCCAACCAAAAAAGAAAAAAAAAGAAAAAGCGGCCATTCTTGTTAAGATGATCAACCAGTCCAAAACATCATGACTAGTACCAGGTTGTTGTCGTAGAAAGTCTCTACATATGATGACTTGAGAACAAAAGTCGTTGTAGTATAGTGGTAAGTATTTCCGCCTGTCACGCGGACGACCCGGGTTCGATCCCCGGCAACGGCGCACCTTTTAATTTTTTTTTGGTTGGCTTGTTTGGTTTCAAAAATTTTACTCTTTTGCGGACAGCCTCATTAATTTTCAAAAATGGATAAAAAGGAAACACCATGTGTATATTAGAAAACAAAATATGCGCATTAGATAATGAAATATAAGAAATACGAAATAAAAATTTAAAATTGGGGAAAAGAGTAGTTTATTTAGCCATAAAAGTGGAGGGGGGTGTAGTTGGCAAATGCCACATCCAGCTGGCGGACTGCCTGGTGCCTAACTAGCTAGGGTTCGAAACTAGTTGGGAGTACTTTGTGACTAGGGCAACCCTAATCCTATTTGGGGATTAATCCCACTTTTTGGGTGTGGGGACACCTCATAGTATTTACTTTTAAAAAAATGGGGGTGGGTGGGTGCTTCATATAAAAGTACAGATAAATGAACCATATATAACATCATACATTATTTACAATATTGCTACATTATCATCTATATATATAAAGCAAAAGGCTGAGTATAAAGAAAGAAAGAGATTTATTGAAATTGTAATGTGCCAAGCTAAGTAGACAAGGCCAGATCATGGACACCACAATAAGCCTTCAAAGCAGAGGGAGCTCTCTTGCCAGCATCTGAATTACAGAAGTCAAGAAATTGAGCATGATCAAAGGGTGCTCTTCATCCACAACCTCATCTGGGGCTTTTATTATGTACCCTTCCTTAGGGACAGAGAACAATCCAGTTGAGTACCTAGCCTCATTTCCACTCATCATCGCTCTATGATATGGAGAATGCAGTCTACCGTTTGTCCATGCCGAAAACATCACCAAAATATGAACGTTAATTTCTTTGTTTTTTTTTGGGCTTTAAACTGTAATGATCCATAAACTTATACCCGAATTTCATTTTGGTTCTCCAAACTCTTAATGTGTTCTAATTTTGTCATTCCATAAAATTTCGTCAATTTTTCATCTATTTGTAGGCAATGGCGGAACCAAGAATTTTTCATCCATAAAATCTCGTCTGTTTAATATCTCCCCCTCTTTTTTATTCTTTTTCCTCCTCCTCTCTTCCTCTTTTCTTTCTTCTCAGCCGGCTGATTTCTTGTCCATGGCGGGTTGATTATTTGATTGGTTTGGATTTAGCCTATACACTAAGCCTGATTAATGATTGAAAGTAACACAACATGTCAGATTATATGATAAATGAAAAATATTTCCTATGAAATTAATGCGAATGTATGACTAAGAAATTGTTAATTTGAATGGTTTATGAACCAGAAGCTTGGGTTTCCTTGAGGCCACAAGGTGTTTATCAAGCTTTGAACTTGTTCATAGACGTTGACAACATCAACCCCCATGCTCTCATATATAGTGCCACCATGGGGTGGCCAACATAGCCAAGGTAGGGTTTTTTTGGAAACATTCTGCATTTTGGTTTGTAAAGTGAGATTGAAAAGTTCTTCCATTGATTGAAATATGGACTTTCGAAAGTGTTGAGGGACTTTGTAAAACAAAGCTTCGAAGCAACCATACTCTTCCAGTGCATTGTGGACTTGGGTTCTCACTGTTTCCCACTCTTTGGAGCCTAGAGTGAGGGCTTGCTTGGAAAAATCTGTGATGGGAAGCTTGAGAGGGGTTTCTGATGAGCCCATAGTGATATGCTGGTTTTGGTTGATAGAAATGGAAAGAGGAAGCTGCTTTGAGTTGAGTTTTGAAGAGTTGACTAGGCCGCCTATTTATATAATTGATAATATTATAGCCAAAGATACGTATAAAAATTCAAGATGGAAGAACCGTACAATCATCACTTTTTAAAAACATAATGCTACAAACAACTGCAAAAAGATTCATGCCTTTGAGCAAAGGGAGGAACTAAGCGTAGGCTAACCCGCTTAGTAATCTCTCTATTTTTTATTTTTAGTTGTCAATTTTTTTAAAGTATAAGTGATAGTCTAAACTAGAGGGGGAGGAGGATTTCTCACGCACACATACTACCAAAGTGCTATGAGGGTTCGAACCTCCAGTCGACAAGCCAATACTCTTTTTCACTGGGCTATACCCCGTTGACTTAGTTGTCATTTTTATGTTAGAGATATACATTGTTAAATGTTAGAGCTATCAATGAATGAGCGTGGACAATATATATACTGGAAATGAAATGGAAACATATTCAGATATAATCTACTCTGATTAGGACCATATGCCTAGAATATTGATGGTCCATATACATAACTATTTATTTCCATTAGTGTGAGTTAAAGCTCAATACTGGAGAAGACAGGGTGGCCCGTGGCCACAAAGAAAATGGTAAGAGGAGAGTTGATAGTCAACCATACCATAGATAACATAATACAATAGATGCATTATTACAGTGTTGCCACTTATTATACAAAGATAGTCAATACAATAGATGCATTATTACAATATTGCCACTTATTATACAATGATAGTCAATACAATAGATGCATTATTACAATATTGCCACTTATTATACAAAGATAGATGTATTGAAATTGTAATTTGCCAAGCTAAGTAGACAAGGTCAAGTCTTGGACACCACAGAAAGTCTTCAAAGGAAAAAGACCTCTCTGGCCGGCCTCTGAATTACAGAACGCCATAAATTGAGCATGTTCATAGGGCTTAAAAAGCAAAGGGTGCTCTTCATCCACAACCTCGTTTGGGGCTTTTATTATGTAGCCTTCCTTAGGGGCGGAGAACAATCCAGTTGAGTACCTAGCCTCATTTCCATTCATCATAACCCTATGAATGGGAGAATGCAGCCTACCATTTGTCCATGCCTACAACATCACCATAATATGAACGTTAATTTCTAAAGGATTTAATGTGCATGTAAATCGAATTGGAAGGAAGCGAAGCAACTCACGTGGAGTGACTCGCCGATCAAGACGATGAAAGAGTCTGATGAAGGCTTGACATTGATCCATTTGCCATCTTTGGTTTGCACTTCTAACCCATCGACTTGGTTTTGGTACAAAATGGTGACAATGTTCTTGTCTGTGTGAGGGGGTATCCCTAACTTAGTCTCGTTGGTTTGAGGCACCTTATATTTCATCACTCGAAGAAGATAGTCGGTCGAGTTTAGGTGTTCCTCCAAGTACTTCTCAAGGCCCAAGCTCTCCAGAATCATCATCCTGATGATCTGATCCAATTCTGAAACTTTCTCCGTGAAGGATTGTATACTTTTGCTGCCACAAAAATATAAAAGTATGAACACCAAATATTAGAATATGAAATTAACGCTAATGTTCTCAGACCAGAAATCTGATATGTATTGTTTTGGCGTATTGCTAATTTGAATTATATATGGTAGACATCCTAGTAACATAACATGTCAAATTGTCTCATAAAATCATAACATTTTCCCTATGAAATTATAATACGCATATACGACTACGAAATTGTTAATTAGGAGGAAGAGTTAATGTGTTATGAACCAGAAGCTTGGGTTTCCTTGAGGCCACAAGGTGTTTGCCAAGCTTTGAACTTGTTCATAGACGTTGGCACCATCAATCGGCATGCTCTCATATAGTGGCATCACGGCTGACTGCCCGGCATAGCCACGGAAAGGTTTTCTCGAAACAATTTTTAATTTGGTTTGCAAAGGGAGGTCGAGAAGCTCTTCAATTGATTGAAATATGGACTTTCGAATGTGTGAAGGGACTTTGGTGAACAATGCCTCGAAGCAACCATACTCTTCGAGTGCATTGTGGACTTGAGCTCTCACTGCGTTCCACTCTGTGGTGCCTGGAGTTAGGCTTTGGTTCGAGAAATCTATGACGGGAAGTCTGAGAGGGGTTTCTGAGCCCATTGTGATATGCTGGTTGTTGATAGAGAGGGAAAAAGGAAGCTGTTTTGCCTTGAGTTTTAGATGAGCTTTCTCGACTTAATTGGCCTATTTATTATACAATTTAGACGATTGAAATGTAAGGGGATGTGATATGTCACGCTGACAAACAAAGATTAATAATATAATTTCCATGTGTATGTTGCAATAGATGAATATTGAATTTAACAAGTTTTGAATCCATGTCATCAAACCCTTTCCGTTGAGTTTTGGTCTAGAGATTGATAATTTTATATGAGAAATTTCTCCAAAATGACAAAGTTAGTCTTTGAGATTAGCTTGTACATACACATATCGAGATTAATTTTTTCATTTGCCTAGGCTTTTTTTAATACAAAATCATCAATTTTTAAATGAACAATCAATGAAAAGGGGTTTGTCAAAAACTTTGAAATCTCAAGGGGTGTTCGTATAATTTTTGAAACCTTATGAATTTTCTTAAAACATTGAAAACCGCAGAGAGTGTTAATGTAAATAACTCATATATCAAATATAGTGGCTACAAGGTCTGCTTACCTGGCCCCACAGTTGGTTGGGAGGGACCTCAATTGGGAAGAGGAAGGATGTGGACTGCATCCAATGTGCACTAACGAAAATGGATCTATATATTTTTTCTGTTAAGAAAATAAATCTATATCTAAGAACCCCTTTTTAAAATAACATGTTGCAAAAGTCATATGCATGCCTTCGAGGAGGAACTAAGCGTAGGCTAAAGGCCTTCTTGGTAACCTCTCCTCTTTTTTAGTTGTCATTTTTATATTAGAGATAGATATTTTTAAATGTTAGAGCTATCAATGAATGAAAGTGGACTATTGTAATTGAAAACGAAACAAATTCAGATTTAATCTTCTCTGATTAAGATCATGCCTAGAATATTGATTGTTATATATAAATGTGACCGAGATAAAGTTGACTCAAACTTAACTATTTATTTTCAATAGTGTGAGGTTTTGTCACAAAAGATTCTCGAATCATTTTTACCAAATGAGATTAAATTTACTGCGAATCATGGCTTGAGGCCAACAACCCCAACAGATATGTTGAACATCTTTTTTGGACACTTCTGTTAGATCAATAACGAAGAAAACAAAATTTGATGAAATGCAACACGAAAGGCATAAGTGGCGTATGTCATGGAGATGCTGTTGACATTGTAGCATCCCACATGAGAATAGTCCAAATCAATTCTCTCAGTGGAAATTTACTAAAAGTAGGGAAAAACAATTAATAGAGATCAGTGGAAGGTCCAAGAACTTCTCTCCCAGGAGTCGACGTGTAAAAGTCTATTTTTTAGACAAAAAAGATCCATACAAACGAAACGATAATATTATAATTTGTAATTCATTGAAGCAACAACATTACAAGTCCATGATGAGTTTTCAAATCATAAAAATCAAATTATTCATTACTCTTTTATGGGTATATATTCACTATTATGAGAATACCCAGATTATGAATACCCAGATTATGAGCAACTCAAACGTGTTGATTTTAAGAATACCCAGATTATGAATACCCAGATTCTTGCAACTCAAACGTGTTGATTTTAAGAATACCCAGATTATGAGCAAAAGATGAGAAAACACTCTTTAATTTCAATTTAAAGTTTCAATAACTGCCTTGAGATGTCTGAACATACAGTATTTAAAGACTTAATCTCTCATCCGATATATTGAACTAGCATCTAAATTAATTAACCCCATTAATCCAAATACATTAAACCCCATTCAAATAATGACGACTCCAGCTATTCCAAACACATGTTAGCCAAATAAATCTAGTTATTCCACATACATGGAATTTATTAAGAGCCAAAACAAAACGTCCAAGCATTTTATTAATGCCTTCGATCCCAATGTTCCATAAACTTTAATGCCTCCTTATCAGAACCCATGAGTACAACTTGGCTTAGAAAGAGCTACACTTTAATTTTGTTTATTTATTCAGCATAAGGAGAGAAGAACTGCGATCAACAACCTTCAAAGCACAACATTACAATGTAGAAGAGAAGTAGCAAGGAGCCCACATATACATACTTTGATACATAAACACTACGCTAGCGCGGCATTAATCTATGGAATATTATTATGCCATGGTCCCTCTAGATCAAAAGAGATATATCTTAGAGACCACAGTAAGCTTTGATAGCATTTTCACATTTCTTTGTCGCCCCGGATTGTTGTAAACGGACGAAATCGAGATGATCAAATGGCTTATACATCAAGGGGTGATTGTCGTCAACAAGCTCTTCAGGTACTTGCAAAATCCCACTTTGCCAGGAGAAGAATGCCAGGGAATACCTGGTTTTGTTCTCTTTCATGATGACTTGGTGTTCACAAGAGCGCACTCTGTTGTTACTCCATGCCTACAACAAAGAAATAAAAAAGAGAAAAAGCAAAAGAGTCATTGAGGCATATAATTGGGATTGAAATTGAAGCTTATTATTTTTATACAAAACTAATCATACAGCATCTGTGACAAACACAACTGTGTCATTTCATAAGTCGGCTCCGTTTGAATGGAGGCATTTGAAAGAAAGAATTTGGATTTTACTAGAGGGCTAAATTTGCTAAACAAAAACTATAAAACATTAGATGGAATGCATTTGAAATAACTAGATGATTTGGAATCCATTTGTTTTTTCTTTCATTTCCATATTACTTCAAATCTAGGCATACATGAGTTATAGTAGTGTAATTTTACAATTTTCCCCTATAATGGCATCTAAAACCTTAGATTTAAATTTACAATCACTCCATCCAAATGGGCCTTCTAATTCTTTTGGCACAAATTTGAACCCTTTAAGTCAATAATATCTTAAGTTTATCTGAAAATTATGGAAGGTCTGATAGCAATCCAAGCTAGAATTACATAAAATGTGAAAGTGACGTACCATGAATGGATCACCTGCCATGAATAGAAAAGTTGAAGGTGAAAGATCCACATCAATCCACTGACCATCCTTTGTTTTTATCTGCAAACCATTGACCTGATTTTCATGAAGAATGGATGTAAAATTCTTGTCTGTGTGAGCAGCCGCTCCCAAATTAGTCTCATTCATCTTCTGTGTTCTATATTTAGTGCATCTAAGCAGGTATGTGGTTGATGCCATGTGAGAGTCATAAAGCCTCTCCACGCCATAAATGTCAAACACCATTCTTGTCACCATTTGATCCAATTCTGCCACCAGCTTGGAGTAGGAATGAGCACTTTCACTAATTCACACAACAAAGAGTTACATCATGTTAGGCACAATATATATATATGTGTTTGTGTGGGGCAGAATTGTTTTACCGTTAGACTGTTATGTTGTTAGACTGTGAACTAGACCATTTACCAAATTAATCTGAATGTGCATTTCTCAACACAAATACAAATTTAAAATGAGTTACCAATATCAAACTATACCAAAAAGAGTCATTTCCTGCAGGCCACATGACTCTTGTGAAGTCTTGAGCTCCTTCTAGAGTTGTTGGATTATCCACGGCCAAGGATTCATAGAGTGGAATGAAAGAACGTTGGCCGATATAACTGTGGTAAGGCTTATCACTGGTCTTCTGCATTTTAGTTTCTAGTGGAAGATCAAACAGATCTTCAAGCACGGAAAAAATGGAGTTGTGAAGTTCCAAAGGAACTTTATGATAAACAACTTCAAAGCAGCCATACTTTTCTAGGGCATACTTGACTTGTTTGCACGCCAAGAGCCATCCCTCTGTTCCAGGCTTCAAGTCTTCACTTGATAAATCCACCACAGGAACCTTTGCTGAGTCTCTGATCCCATTCTGTCAGAAATCACTATTCGCTAATGAGACAATTGGGCATACTAAGCTTACACAAATTCAGCTATAAAATGATAAAATCTAAGTTGCTGGTGCTTGTTTTACATGGACAAGTTGGAAAATGGTATCTTATAATTGTGTGCAGTTAGTCAACATATATACTAATCCAAAATTGGTTAGTAATTTAACACTAAAAATTTATTTATTCATTATTGAATTCGAAATGTGCCAATCCTAATCATCTCTAATTATTAATATTCATATCTAATCAGTGAAGTCCTACACACGAATCATGAGCTACTCACTAAGGGTAATTGAACACTAGGAAATCTAGAGTATATACAAATGCTAGGTCAAGATGGTGGAAAATAATTCAAATTAAGCATCCATCTACCAGTCCTAGATATGTAGAATGCAAAGAATTAAAAATAATTGAGAATTCAACAGGTTTAAGTTTTGGGGCTCCAAATGAAAAGCTAGGGATCATAAGAACCAAAATTAAACATAGATTCAATGAGATTGAGCAAAAACAACACAGCAACTGCTCAGAAAATTAAGGAAGCAGCAATATAAGTGCATGTGAGTGACTTGGGAATGATGACAGAGTTTTTACCTTGAAGAAGGCATGGAGAAGAAGATGAAGAAGAAGCTGTCAGACTTGAGAAAGATAGGCCCAAAACTCAGACAAGCTGGCCGGCTATTAAACATTTAGAATTTTGGGCTAATATCACTAGAGCCCCTGAAAGTTTGAGGTCATTGTCAATATGGGCCTCGAATTTCAATTTCATCATTTTACACTCCATGATTTTCAAATTTGACTAATTTAAACTTTCCGTCAAGTTGACTGCTTGGTCAAACGTTAGATGCTGACATATATACTGTGGGACCCACCCACTAACCAACCAATCCCTAAAAAACTTTAGGATTAACTACAGTAAATCTCCCAACCTATAGAGGCCATTACAAGCTCATACCCAACCTTTAAAGACTCGTTTGACCAGTATTCCAACTTTACAGAACCTTTCAAAATGCATCATTCGTTAGTGAATTTGTTAGTTTTTCCGTTAAATGCTTATGTGTCAAATATATGTCAGGTTTTTATTTTTATGTGGACGCCACGTGGGCTAAAAAACTAATATAAAAAAATCTTGATTTCTTAAATTATTTAAAAACCTTAAAATTGAATATTTAAAACAATAATATAATATAAAAATTTTTAAAAAATTAAAACAAACCCACCCACCCCTGTCCCTAGGGTTGGCAATGGGTAATGTCGTGTCATGTCAAGATTATATACGTGTCAGGAATGCTCAACCTAAACTTGACCTGTTTAATAAATGTGTCATGCACAGGTTGACCCATTAAGTTCTTGTGCGGGTTTCGATTCATGTCGAGTTGACCCGCTAAGTGGTAGAAACTAAAAGACATTAAAAAAAAATTAGAAAAATGAAGAATAAACAAATAAACGGGTTAGTGGGTTGGCGGGTTACACTGGTATTTTAGCGGGTTGGCAAATTACATAGGTATTTTAGCGGGTTGGCGGGTTGACCCGAAAATGACCAGAATTTTAATCGTGCAGGTTGAACTCGCTAAATTCTCGTATGGCTTTCGAGTCATGTAACTGGTCGTGCTCGAAATTGCCACACCTACCTGTCCTGTCCCTTGACTTCTCCCTCAGCCCCACACCATTCCCCTTCATCCCAACTCTATCTTTCTCTTCCTTTCTCTCTCCCCATCTCTTTCACTTTCTCTTTGTCACTGCAAACACAAACCCAGTCCTCTCTTTCTATCTCTCTCTCTCTCTCTCTTCCTTTCTCTCTGTGTGTCTCTTTCTCTCTCTCTCTCTCTTCCTTTCTCTCTGTGTGTCTCTTTCCCTCTATCTCCATCGATGCACACACATAAAAGAACCCAACCCCCATAGTTGGATTGAACCCATCCAAATTCAAAGAGAAACAAAATCAAAATTCATTCCTAACAGAATTCAAAATGCAGATATGAATTTGGGGTGGAGGTTGAATCTAGGAACGTTGTAAAGGATGGCCATAAAGAAATCGAGGCATGTGTGAGTCGTAGGGGTGATTTTTTTGGTGATGTGAAAGTGACAGTGGTGGTTCGACTGGATTCTCCGGAAGAGGAGGGAGATGGGTTTTGGGGTTGGGTGTCTTGATACATTTTGAGAGGAGAGAGAGAGACAATGGGTTTTAGGGTTGGGTGTCTTGATAAATTTTGAGAGAGAGAGAGAGAGAGAGAGAGAGAGAGAGAGGAGAGAGAGAGAGAGAGAGAGGGTTAGATGTGAGCCCATTGGTACTCATATTGAACAAAATCATGGTTTGAAAGAATGTCCAGATCAAGTTTGACTGATAAGGGATGATATGAAAGATTGGTTGGTCATTTGATTTATTTATCTCACACCAAACCTGATATTGCATATGCAGTAAGTGTTGTAAGTAGATTCATGCATAATCCAAGTATACGACATATGGATGTGGTAGTACGAATTTTAAGGTATTTGAAGTCTGCACCAAGAAAGGGTCTAATGTTTTTCAAGCATGGGCATGTAGACGGTATGGGATATACATACTCAGATTGGGCAGCAAAGAAGGATAGAAGGAGATCTACATCTAGTTATTTTACATTTGTAGGAGGTAATCTAGTTACGTGGAGGAGTAAAAAGCAGAAAGTTGTATCTTTGTCTAGTGCATAAGCTGAGTATCGAGCTATGGTGAAAGGTATTTGTGAATTGCTATGGTTGAAAAGGATTATGAGGGTGCTGGGTTTTCCTACTGAGAGTTCTATGACGTTGTATTGTGATAATCAGTCAGCAATCAAGATTGCAAAAAATCCAGTTCAACATGATAGAACAAAACATGTGAAAATTGATTGGAACTTTATTTATGAGAAATTGAAAGAGAAGATTATTGCAGTTTTGTATGTTAAGACTACTGAACAATTGGCTAATATGTTGACCAAGGCCGTATCAAATGAAGGCTTTACTACTTCACTTGTCAAGCTGGGTATCTGCAACATTTATGCACCATTTTGAGTGGGGGTATTGGCGTGAATCAATTCAATGATTCATCTTTATTGTAATTGATTTTGTATTTATGTGTAATTATAGGAATACCATATTGTATTTATTTTCTTTTTCCTTTCCAAGATAGGCTTGTATTTGTATCACTATAAATACCTCATTGTGAGAAGAATAGAAAATACTGAATTATTCGTAACCGTAATTCTATTTGAGTTATAATTAATAACACTACTATATGTCACCTTAACTTTATTTATTCAATAGAAAGCAAATCAAGAAAGAAACTAAGATTCACAACCTTCACAGAACAACATTACATACTAGAGACGTAGCAAGAAACCCACACATACTTTGATATACATAAGGATTATGCTAGGTAGCATTCCAAATGGAGTTATTATGCAATAGTAAGGTAACAGTGGTCCCTCATGATCAAAAGAGATCTCAAACACCACAGTAGGCTTTGATAGGACACTCTGATTTCTTTGCCTCTGGTGTTTGATCGAAACGAAGGAAACCGAAATGATCAAATGGCTTATACAGCAAGGGATGTTGATCATCTGTTAGCTCTTCAGGTACTTCTAGAATCCCACTATTGAAAGAGAATAGTCCCAGGGAATATCTGGTTTTGTTCTCTTTCATGATGACTTGGTGGTCACAAGAGCGTACTCTGTCATTGCTCCATGCCTAACAAGTGAAAATAAAGAAAGAAAAAAATTCAGGCATATATATAATTGGGGTTTGCCAAGTAAAAACAAAATTAATAAAACGAAATTAAAAAATAAATAAATAAGAGCTCTATCCATCACCCTTTTACTGCTTGAAATTTAGAAAATGACCTACCATGAGTGCATCGCCTGCCATGACTAGAAAAGATGAAGGTGAAGGCTCCGCTTCGATCCACTGACCATCCTTTGATCTAACCTGCAAACCATGCACCTGACTTTGATGAAGTATGGATGTGAAGGTCTTGTCTTTGTGAGGACGCAGCCCCACATTGGTTTCATTCTCCTTCTGTTCTCTATATTTAAAGCATCTAAAAAGGTAAGTGGTTGATGCCATGTGAGAATCATATAGCCTCTCCACACCATAAATATCAAACACCATTCTTGTCACCATTTGATCCAACTCTGCCACCAGCTTTGAGAAGGATTGAGCACTTTCACTAATTCAAAGAACAAAGAGATACAATATTAAGCATATAATATATATATATATATGTGTGTGTGTGTGTGGAAATATGTTCTTGCCAGCCAGACTGTCGTCGAGCAACATATAAGATGTTTATGTTGCAAGACTGTGAATATTGACCATTGATCAGGTTACTTGTTATACGAATGTGTTCGAAAATTCAGTGTAATAGTAAAAAAGTAGTAACCAATCAAACTATACCAAAAATGGTCATTTCCAGCGGGCCACATAATTTTTGTGAAGCCTTGAGCTCCTTCAACAGTTGTTGGATTATCGACTCCCAAGGATTCATAGAGAGGAAGGAATGAATATTGGCCAAAGTAGCTGTGGTAAGGCCTCTCACTGGTTTGCTGCCTTTTAGTTTCTATGGGAAGATCAAATAGATCTTCAACCACAGAAAAGATGGAGTTGCGGAGCTGCAAAGGAACTTTATGGAAAACAGCTTCAAAGCAGCCATACTCCTCTAGTGCGTACTTGACGTGCTTGCTTGCCAAGACCCATGCCTCTGTTCCAGGCTTCAAGTTTTCATTTGATAAATCTATAACAGGAAGCTTAGGCTGAGTTTCTGACCCCATTATATGTCAGCAATCTTTTCTGAACTAGGTAGATAGTTTGGGGAATTAATGCACTGATATTGTTGTGACTTATAGAGGTTCGATTGATGCAGTGATGTCGTAATGAGACAGTCTGAACTTATTTAGAAATATTAATTTAACCATAAAATCATAAAATATATGTCTTGGTGCTATCTTTTGATAGATAAATTTGGTGGCAATCGCATCGTTTCTATTTGGATAGAGTTACTTGGTGCTATTTGTGTGAATACTAGTCAGTATATGTAACCCAATTTGTTTATGCAAGGGCTTGTAGTCCAAGTGGTTTCACTCAAATTGATCAGAGAATTACCTAGAGTGATTTGAACACAGTCTCGGATGCGTAGTTAATTCTCTTTAACCAAATCGAGCTACAAACTCCTTATACCCAGAGTGGTTTCACCTAAATCAAAGAACCTAAAGTGATCTGAACATAGGACCCCATGCATAGTGAACACTCTAACAAACTGAATTTTTAGTACTTGATTGAGACTTTAAATTTCTAGACCTGATCAATTATTCTGGGTTGCTATTTGTATTAATTTAATTTTGATAATGTCCCAGTTATATTTGTACATTAAAAATTAACGGGAATAAAATAGTCACAAACTGTACGGGTGACGTTAATATATTGCATTTGGGGTCAACATGCAGAAAGCAACCAATATAGAAGAGACAAATTCGATATATTACATATATTATCATCACCATAGTATTAAAATCCCCAGGGACTAGTTTTCAGTAAGGTTGAAGTTTGAGGTTGAAGATCTTCTTTCAATAAACAGTATGAGGTTGAATATGTGATAAATTCCAACCTTAATAAATTTCCACCAAATCTGAATAATGATAGATCAACCATGATCTCTATAAGAAATAGAAAATTATATAATTTTAAAGGATAACGTTTTATTATTGTAATTAGATTGGCATGTTACACACTCTCTATGAGGACCACTGATTATGAAATTGCCAATCAAACTAGTACTTT